TTTTTAGGATGTTTAAGAATAAGATATTTTATTAAGGTGCCAGGCATTGGTGGACTGAACTTAAATTTTAAGTATTTCCCAACATTTCCACCAAACAATATAGTCTAGTATTTAATATACATTAATTAATTATTAACTTATAAATAAATTAATGAGTGGCCGAAAGAGGCCAGACCTTCATGGATCTCGGTACAACTGCTACCACCCCCTAAAAATGTTGATGCATTTGTGTCAAAATTGATCCTTTCGGCCTGCCATTGGTACCTACCAGGTTTTAAAAAAGGTTGAGAAACATTGATTTAGGTGGTCATTTATGACAGGTTGATGAGTAGGCACAAGTGTTCTAATTAAAATACCACGGACTAGGATATAACAAGATATTTTGACTGATATATTATGATTCTAAGTAGTTCCATACTCCCATACACTCAGGGATGTAGGTATTGGTAAAAAATGTCTTGTGTATTCGCCATATTTTTTTAAATGTATCTTAAACAATTTTTTCTCACTACGCTCGACACTTGTTATATATATCTATACCAGAAATTTTTTTTTCGCTCCTCTCGAAAAATAGTGTACATAAATATAACATGTATCATTATTCTTACTTCATTATCAGTATCAACCAACAATTTTTTTAAATATAAAATCCATAAGTATGTTGAAAATATTATTTTTATTTTTACACTATAGAATTTAAAAGACCAATTTCAAATCTTCAAAAACAATTAGTAAAATAATACACGCTTTTCCATTTACCTCCATCCACCGTATACTTATAAAATAAATATTTTTTTCAAGTATACGCATTTCTTTGTAAATATTGTTATGACTTTATGAGTATACTCCCGTATATACCCTCCAATACACCACTGCATACACTGCATGTTATACATATAAGTAGTATATATTAGCAGTACATTTATAGATATTAAAATGCAAAGCAAAAAAAAAAAAAAATGCAAAATATATCACTTTGTAAATAAATAACAATATATTTTAATACATATATTTTTTTTTTTTAGTTTCTTGTATATACAATTATAGCTCAACAGTTATTATGAAAACAATATAGATAAAAACGATTACAGATAATAACAATTCACAACACTTAGGTATTACAAAATATGAAAAAAAAAAATTTTTTTCAAAGAGTACATAAAAGAGAAAGAAAAAAATAAAATAAAAATAGAAGAACAAAATTATATACAAAAGCCAGCCTCCGAAATAAAGGCTAAGATTTAAGCTATGACTATTACAGATGTAAAGTTAAGGATAGAGAAAAGGTTAGGGGTAATATTAAAAGTTTTTAAGGAGTTAAACAAGATAGTGCGTTTTAAGTGCAAGGAAGGGCACTCGAAAAGAATGTGAGATATATCAAAGACATTCTGTTAAATGTAAGGTGCAGAAAGGGGCGTCATTTAAAACCAATTTGTATGCATGGGCAGGTAGAAGTGTGTGACCTGAACGAAGGCGATTAAACTGAACTATGGATTTTCTTGATAGGAGGAGGTTGTTGAACCGGGTTTTATGAGGGATTGAAGGAACGATATTTTTATATCTGGCTGCGAATTCTGCTGGGAGCTTTGACCACCACTGGGAAGCCCAGAGGTGTTTTATGTGGTGACGTATGAAAGGAGTGAAGTCGGTATGAGGAAGTTGGATAAGAGAGAGACAAATTAAATTAGATGTAGATTTGGCAAGACTTATTTTTAGTCTTAGTGTTTGATTACATTACATAGTTTTCAAATTTGTTAGTCACGTTGGTGACTTCAATACGATTCTACATTTATTCTCTCTTGTATTTTACTGAACATTCATTTTCTGCATTTCAACACATTTGAGTTCACTAAATAAACGAAATCACCACAAAACAACTTTTTTTCTTAATAAAAAATACAGTTTTAGGTTTAAGTTTGGCATTTCTATACTAATTTCCTAACAAGTAACAACTAATAAACAATTTACAAAATACATGAGTGATGAGTATGGTTAATTGCTTGTCTAACTGTAAAAAGAAAATCATGCCGCCTCTGGGCATTGACCAATGTTAGTTAGGCATACACTTAAATTTATGTTATATTTTATCATTCATTCCATTCTACATAATAAATAATATATATAAATATATATAAAGTTACTATGTATACCTAAGTACTAACGACGTACTATAAATATTATGTTATCGAAATATTGACGTTATTTTTATGCTTTATGTCAAAAATAATCTGCCTGTCGGAATGGCGTGTACCAAAAAAGTTAGCTGTACAATGTGTCAATGTGATACCTACTAACTATCTGTTTCACGTTTGCCTTTTACATTCTAATGTCAAAACTACTACAGCAATATAAAAATGTGTATTATTTGCCTATGTAAATAAATAATTAAAATAATAGATATTTTAAATTTTAATAGCTTTTAACCTCAAATAAGGAAACGAAGCCTCCACACAATATTTTGGAATGGTATCTTGGGACAAGTTAACAAAACCAGTGCAACTTTAAAAAATCCTAGATTAGATGGAAGAACATCTGCTTCAGTCAGGGCCGTATTACCGCTTAGGCTGTGTAGACTAAAGCATAGGGCGGCAAATTTTTTTTTGATGTGACCCAAAAATTACGTTGAGATATTAGTAAAATATCAATACCTATGTAAATTAGGTGGTAAATTCATTTCAGCCTATGGGCGGCAAAAACCTTAATCCGGCCCTAGCTGGCTCAGCACTGTCATCGCGAAAAAGTTGTGCATTGGAACAAAACGAGATACGGACACTTTTGAATAATATGTCATGACTTATGAAAGCTTCTGAATCTGGTATTTTGTTGAGTTTGAGAGTGAAACACAGCGGAAGGGTAAAATAAGCGTGTGTTACAAACCCATATTGCCAATATCTAAGTACCAGAAGTTGAGCCAACCCCTTCAAACAAATTTCGAACCCAAAGTCCTTCGGCTTTCTTGTAGTATATGGGCCAACTTGAATCCTCATTGCGACAGAGCAGTGGCGTCATTTCATTTTTTTAAAAGAGGAGGGCAAAAGTTTTCACTAACCCAAACGAGGAACTATTAAAAAACCCACTCGATTCAACTTTCATACACGTCCCCGCATACGTGTAAATATAAATATATTCCAACTATTAATATTAGTATGTGTTTACCAATTAATCCTTGAGGGACAATAATTTCTTAATGGGAAACTGGGAACATAATATTATTTGGGTCCCGGAAAAATACACTACGATAACCCGTTTGAGTTTGATAAATTCTTATCTTTTATTCTTTAAAGTTTTTTAGATTCAATATATCTAATGCAACTTTGTTTCAATTATAACCCTATCTTTATTATTAAAAAAATATATAGATACATAATGAATGATAATGATTAAACATTATTGAAATATCCATTATTAAAAATTATTTATATAATTGTATGTACCTAAATACCTAATTTAAAAAGCAAACTCCTAATGGATATCACATTGCAGTATTAGCGTATTGCACAGCTGACTTAGGTATTTAGTATATCATTAAGAGTTTCAGACAGCTTATGTCTGGCATAAAGCAAAAAACTAATGTTAATAGCATAAAAGTATTTAGTGCCTTTATTATATATGGCTACAACACGATTGCTAAATTTTTCATTTTTGGCCCGACTGATTGCCCAAAAAATTTGCAACACGTTTGCACACCAAATGATATGTGTAAATAAACTAGGTATGTATAGTAATTTATGAATAACAGAAAATAATGTATACAATACAAATTGTTTTTTTCTTCTAAATTACACGTATAATAATTACATACTGACTATTAAGTCGTTATTTTAATTATTAATTTTAAAAAAAATTCCAAACATAAAAAAGCAATCCGCACATTTTAGTCGATAGACATAAATATAGGGAAATGAACTGAAAAGATGTGGTAGTATTCGATACCGTTGTACTATGTAATAAAAATTGTTCTGCTAGTCTGATTGTTAATAACGATGTTACAATAGTTATTACTTTTTTTTTTTTCAATTAGCTTCTTGTATATACAATTATAGTTATTACTTATTAGTATGCTTAATGATCATAATCATAATGTTATTGCTGATAATATAGTTGGTAGGCAAATTATCAATAAAAAGTGCACATAATGCTGTTAAAGAAATTTTCTCCCGAACCGCAGAATTCTGGCATGTCGGTTTAATTTAAATCAAAGTTGGTTTAGACATATCCAACAAGATAGTCAGCTATTAAATGAGTATACATAAAGTTATATCAAGTATACAAGTTCCGTATCGGGTGTTTGACTAAAAAATTTTTTTGCTTTAGGATTTTTACCAGCCAATTTAGTAGAAAATGCTACGTCTAATTTTAGATTTGCCGATTATTTACAAAAACTATGAACAAAACAATGCACAATTTCCATCAACAGTATGGGTAGATAAACCATCAGAAGACGCTAGAACAACTAATAGACAATGGTCCAGAATCTTTTCATATTCACTATAACTTGCAGTTTTATACCTCGCATCCATCTACTTTCCAAATAATAATAAACATATTATTTATTATTATCTACTTAAACTGAAATACATTTAAAAATAAATAGTGTTAAACTCAATGACAAAAATAAATTAAGGAAAGAAAAAGAAAACAACATAACATTTATAATGGATACTTGGGAAAAATTTAAAAATAATTAAATATCAGTGAATGATTATTTGTAAGCATTGGGACCACGTTTTTGTGCTAGTTACCAAATGTTTTTTTTTTTACTTTATTAATAATATACACAATCTGTACACTACGGCACAATATGAGAATGAGCTAATTGACAAGAAATTGAACATTTTGATAGAAGAAGCCCCCACTGATGACATTTTCGGAAGTTATCAAATGTAATTTTTAAAAACAATTACATATTAGAAAATATATGATGTAATGGAAATTAAATTACGAAAAGAGCAATATTAATCAATATGAATTTATATGAACAAAAAAATAAATATCAACTAATGACTATATCAGTATAGAAAAAATAAACAATTTTTAATAAAAAAAATATATCGTGTATTGACTATGTCAGTATATGCATTTAGCTACACGTAATTTAGAAAAAAAACATTTTTTAACCAAGCCTGCAATGATGATAATTTGACAGTCCTAATAGCCTGTATTCTGTAATAATTGGGAAGAAAAATTGTGATTAAATAATAGTAATTAGTAATAAGTATACATGTATACATTATTTTATGTTATACATAAATTATCTTACTCTTACATAGTATATATACACATATCATTTGGTGTACAAACGTGTTGTGATTTTAACAGGTAAGAAGAGATCGGGGCCCGGGGGGCAACTGTGTTGCAAATTTTGGGTACCACACGATTGCGTACGATGTGCCTTTTTGAGAACACGATTGCGTACGTTAAACCATTAACTTTAATGTTTACCCCAAAAGTCAAACGATTGGGTATGATTTGCTGTGCAACGTTGCCTAATTTATGTTTTTATTTGTGATCAGTAAAATTTAAATTTTGAAAAAATGATTTAAGTTATGGTACCACTTAAAAACTCAAATCTTGACAAATTTTTTATAGTATTTTTATGAATTTTATACTTGTTATATTCTTTCATGGCTTCTTTTATACGAATTAAATCAGCATTTTCCATTTTTTTAATACGACCTTTAAATACTGATTGAATTTTCGTACATGTTTCCTCTTGCGTTTCTTTTAAAATATTTAAAACTACATGGACAGAAGAGTGGGAGCTATGAAATTGAGCGTTATAAGTTCGATGAAAACTTTCAGATCCATTTGTTGTACCTACTTAAAAAAAATAAAAATAAATGCAAAATTAAAGTTATTATAGCAATTATATAGTTGAATTTTTTCTGGGGATTTTCGGATGGCTCTTGTGTCCAAATTTCCTGTGGAAATAAACAACCATTCTCCAAGTATGTATTTAAAATTTAGTCAGAAAACAAACATCCAATATTTAAATCCGGAAAAATTTATATTAGTTCACCAAACGCATTTTGGATGTCTTGAAAAGGTAAAAATGGTAATCAAAAATTGTTCAAAGCAAATGGTAACAGTGCTTCAAAGTTGCAGATACAAATCGTACGCAATCGTGAACATTAAATATATAATTATAATTATATATATTTTCTAGGATGGAATGTATATAGCCTATGTATACTATATAGGCCGTATCGCTCTGCAGTTTAGGACTCAGCATACGACTCTTTTGAACAAATAACATTCCTCGGAGGTGGAAATGGTGGCATAATTTTTTTTCCACCGAGATAAGAAACTAACCAAACCACATATTTATTTACAACAGGGTGGATTTTTAATAGGTACATTCTCTCTGGGCTGTTATTCGAATACTTGCCGATCAATCATTATGAAAGAGCGGCTATACTTTACGACTCAGAATCGTCTACACAATGGTAACAGAGATCATAACTCTCAAAACTTGAGGAAACGGGAGAGAGAGCTGAACAGGCTGTGGAAGGACAGTACGAGAATCCAAAGCATTGGGCTCGAGAAAAGGATTACTCAGAAGTTCAGAACGGTGCTTTTAGGATTGTGGCGGGCTTTGGCTCATGAACAGGACAGAACGAGATGTCTAAGGGTGAACTCATGTCAGCCCGAGAAGTGACACCCGTTCCAGTAATCATGACAACGATTAAATTAATTTATGTGATGGTGGTTAATTGAATCAGTCGAATTGTATTATGATTAACATTGGAAAACTGCATGTATTATGTATATACTAGCTTGCTAAAAAAGTGGGTTCGAGCTTCCTTTGGGGCAATCCAAATATCCGATTTTATCATCTGTGCAAAGATGAACAACCCCCACTTGGCGATGTTATTATATAAAAAAAATAGGTTAGGTTGGGTTTTCCTTTGGCTGAATCAACCTAGATGAAGCGGAGAAGGTTGCAGGCCGTAATTCGTATTTTTATTAAACCATGACGAGTTATTGCCCATTGGTGGACAACTCAATAAGTTGCATACGAATAGCAAAATGTTGTAATTATATATAACTGTTTGAGTTTGAGTCTTTGAGAAACAATAAGTGGATATTAAATAGTGTCAACTTCATGGCTACAAGAAGATATTTTAATTTCTCTTGCGATCCAATGTACTTATGTATTGTGCAGTAGTGTGCACTCTCTGGCCTCTGTAGTAAATTTCAGACCATACGTATTTTATTATTATGCACTTACTTCATATTTTGGGACTTTGTGATGTTATATCACAATAAGTAATTATAATAATTTATAGTTTTAAAAATAGGAATACAAGTTGGAATCTAGAATATTGTGATGTCACAGAGTTTAGGGGTCGCACAATTTGTATGCACTCGTCAAGTCACAGCGGAACATTTGCAACTGCTGCAGTTAACTGCCACCAGACTTCCGTTTTTTTTTCACACAATAACAATGCTTTTTCAACCTCCAGTCGTCCGTGCAAAAGCTCTGGAACCCGTACATGTTAATGCGACTTATGTCGCCGAGCATGCCAAACGCGCCATTGTCATCGCCTCCCTGGCCGACGGTCACCTCAAACATGCTCCGGCCCGGTAACGTTTCCACTACCAACAAGTACTCGCGGCGACCGTTTACCCGGTTCACCCTGCTCCGGGCTGACACGGTTTTTCTCAGCGACAAGTGAGAACAACTGTACCCCTGGCGCACCGCTGATTGGTACTTGGCTAGCAGCGCGTTCAGCTGCCGCACCACGTACTTGCCACCGTCCACTGCTGTCTTGCTACGATAGTCCAATTCTTCGTACTCGTTGCACGTGCACCAATGCGGCGCGATGCCTGCTTGTTCGCACGACCTGTTAGGTAAAATTAGAAAAACCAAACAGTATAATATACTACAAAAAAAAAAATATATAATAATTATGTAATTTCCCTGGGAGTACCAGTTAATGCAGTCGGTGTGCTTATCTATCTATTGCACCAGGGGTTACTGAACGTATCTTTCAAATATATTTTCTATATATTTAATATTCATTAATCATTATCATGACCATAAAACAGATTAAAATTTAATATAAATATTTAATATAAATAGTTCCAAGATCGCATTTTACATTTTTATGGGATTATCGACGTAACAAAATATTAATCTTTTGGACTGAAATTGAACATTATAATACATTTGAAATGCATGTTGTCATTATAATTTAAATATAAAATAGTTGGTAGGTACTTTAAAATATTATAATTTATAATTTAGGTATGATCATATTTTTAAATTTTTCATTATTAAATGATAACACTAGCAGTTAACAGTTAAGTACACATTTCTAGAATCCGAGCGGAGAGAAAACTGTACCTATTGGTTATACAATAATGCGCGTGTTTTATTTTGGCTGCCATTTTTTTTTTTTATTAGTTAAGTAATTTACAATCTATACAACATTATGTACAATGAGCAAATTTGATAGTTAATATAATATAAAGTAACAGAATTTAACATTTGCGGGCAGGCACTCAGCAGCACCACTCGACCGTGAACATTTTGATGTCATGGTTTTTTTTTAAATTTTTTTTTTTAGTAGGTCTCTAGGCCACTGTCTTTTTAGTCTTCTGCGTACATTGCCAGGAAGTGAGGTGGAAGAAAGTTGCTTTATTAATGGATTACTGTGAGAGCTTAAGTTGGAGTGAAATTTAGGGTAATGTGCTTTTGCTAATTGATTGAGTGTAGGAATTTTTAGGTCTTTGTGAAGATGATTGTTTGTGAAATACCAAGAAGATGTTATTAATCGTAGGCGGATAGATTGAAAAGCTTGAAGCGTGTAGGTGTTAGAAAGCTTTGCAGAGTCCCTTAACTGAATACCATATGTCCAAGCTGGTCGAATTATTGATTTATATATAGGAAGTTTATTGGAAAGGGAAAGTTTGGATTTTAAGAGTGGTCTAAGGATATGAAGTCTAGAGTTAACAGTTTTACGTTTAAGTTTTATGTGTGGGCTCCAGGTTAAGCGTTTGTCGAGAGTTAGCCCAAGGTATTTAACTTCGTTTGCCTTAGGAATTGTTATATTGTTTAACGTGACAGGTGGAGAATCGAGATTACGTAGTGAAAATGTTACTTGAACAGATTTAGTTTTGTTTATTTTGATTTTCCATCTGTTTGCCCACAAGCTGATCATATTTTAATGGTTTTGAATCATTTCACTGGCTGTGACGTGGCTTTCGTGGGAGGCGGTTATTAACGTGTCATCAGCGTATGTGCCTAAAGATGTAAAAAATGTCTTGGGTATGTCATGAGTGAAAATCGAGTAAAGGAATGGGGCGATGTCGCTTCCTTGTGGGACTCCGGCTCTAATAGTGTAACGGGCTGAGTAAGTGTTGTTTAAGCGAACAGTAAAGAAACGATTTGACAGATATGATTTTATCAAGAGGAAAAGAGGGGCGGGTAAGAACTTTTTAAGTTTGTACATTAGACATTAATCCGTCATGCCAAACCCGATAAAAGGCTTGGGAGATGTCAAGGAATACTGCTGTACAGAACTGTTTTTTTTTCCAGGGAACTGGATATGATATCGACTGTTCTGTGTAACATCACATTTTAGAACAGAAAAACTAGTTTTAGCACACTTAAACAGATTTTGAAAATACAATGGTTCATAGAAAATGTTATTACTCATTATAAGCATTCAGTGAAAATGTCATGTACCTATGTACTGTTATTTTTTTTTTAGTCAAGTTACAGTGGCGGCTTGTGGGTTTTTAATGAAGTAGTGTACATTAAAAAAATGTAATCAATATTTATTATTTTACATAAAATATAATAGATAGTATTTTACACAAATGTCGAGCTGATAATCGGTATGCAATAAACAAATGAGAATAAAAAAAACCATAATGCCGATCAAAGATAAGTGTAATATATTACGCGCAACTGCAATGTCGAACATAATTCGCTGAAAACATTAAATTTAATTGGTTACGTGCACAGAAACGAATGTTCACAACAATTCCATTATAACGCGGGTTGTGTGGTTTGACTTGCTTTAATTTTTACATTGTACAAATTGAAATGTGCACAACGATTGTGTGCACTACTGCACTACGCCACGCCACCACTAACTGTACATACTGATATCGTTTCGGCGGGGACAACCCCGCCCGGCCGTATCGCCAATAACATTATAGGTACTTAGTTGTATTATTATGATTTATGTTTAGATTTTTTCAAATTTTCTCGAGTTTGGGTTAGGTAGTGCTCGTGAGTACACATACATGAGCCGGTTAAATACATCAAAATACAAACTCGGTTAATATTTTTGTTATTTTTGACGCTTTTGAAAACTAGTTGGTCATTTTTCACTTTTGATCACCAACGTACCATTAAGATCCATTTTCCTACCAGAAAAGAAAAATCAAAGCATTTTTATTGCCTCAAAAAGTGATGGCTGACAGAAATAAAAAAAACCACCTCATTGTAAAATCATACTAAATATCAAATAATTCTGCGTTATTTATAAATAATCGTATTTAATCAGAAATAAATTGTGAAGTACGTACTTACTACTCGAGGAACTCTTGTTACAAAAACTTGATACCCCTGATCAACGTGACTAGTAAGATGATATGTTATTGAAAATCAATTTGTCCATATTTATTATTATTTCATAGATAAAATTGCATAGGAAAACATGTATAATTTAAATGTACCCGGTATAATAATATTTCAAGAAAATACAAAATATAAAAACCCGTATTTCTCAAAAACGTTCTCTGGGGATTTACGACATTTAACTTAAGAGGTAGCTCGTAGCTGTATAGGCAGTATAGTTTCATTATAGTAACGTATTAAATATCCCCTTTCCGGTTCATATTATAAAATAAGCAATAACCTGTTGGCATCAGCCAGGCGGAACAGACTGTGGCAGGTTGGACAGCCGTCGGCCACAGTTCCCCGAAAAATGCTGTTGTTGTCATCGTTGTCGTGCTGCTGAAACAGCAATTGCTTGAGCGTTAGGTGCAGATCGAACGGCGAAGTCAATCGGTGTTTGTTGACTGCCAGAGCTGCGTGGTGGTCGGGTCGTGCGGCCACGTATCCGGGCGGCAGGCGCGCGTAGAACGCGGGCATCCGGTCCTCAAGCCAGCCGACTTGCGTCTGGCGTATCAAGCCGAACCGGAGCCCGTGGTCGCTGAGCACCGCAGTGACGGCGTTGTCCAACAACCGGCCGTTCAGCAACTTGGACAACGCGCCGGCCGTCCGCTCGTCCATGGACGACGGCGTGTTCAAGTCGTTGTGGCTGAACGTGTTCAGCCAGAACACGGCAAAGTACCCGTGGTGCCTGTGCAACCGGACAAAGTCCTCCACGTAACCGTACACTCGGTCGGGAGCGGACCGCGGACCGAGGCAGAAATTCATGCCGTCAAACTTGACTACCGGCAAGAAACGCTCGGCCGCCAGCATGTACGGCCGCGAGTAGTAGTCGGTCGGCGCGTTCCGGAACCCGTATTTACCGAAGTTGTAAGTGCCCATGCTGGGTTCGTCTTCCACGTACGCCGTAACGTAACCTGAAGTGATATGTGTACGATGGTTACATTTTGTATCATTATATAGTATGTATTTTAATCTTAAATATGGGTGTTTAATATTATTATCGTAATTGGTAGATATTTTGTTTTATATTTAGTAAGTACCTATTACCTAGCTGATTGACACATTATCACTCCCAAAACCTATGTATAATTGTTGAAATAAATAATAAATAACATTATAGTAGGCATTTGAATATTTTAAACATGATGTGGAGTGTGGAGTGTCAAACTACAATATTTCATACACATATCAGATCAATACATTGCTGTGAAGCAGCTGGAACAATAATAATAATTATTTGCTATTTAGTAAGAATTCAGATGTAGGTATCATTATGAGCCCAATGAGTAACAACAATAGTAGGAAAATTGTATGTAGATACATTAAACATGACAGCCTCGGCGCGCTGTACTAGTTTAGAAAAAGACAACAAACATAAGCCACCTTATGAGCAGGGACACAATTTCGATAAAAAAACTGAGCTCTCTATTTTTTGTAGTTAACCCTGTCTTTGTAACATTTGAATAAACAAGAAACTTTGTCCACACCCTTCATGGAAATCATGTATACCAACATTTACTAGCTGTACCTAATACTCGCAGCTTATTGTCTGAGGGTAAATGAAACCGAGATGGGCATTCCACACCTGCAGTAGACTACTATCCTTTTAATTTAAGCAACTTTTTTTACGTGTAACCAATAACAAGCAGAAATAAATGAAAATGCGGTTGCTATTTTAGTATTATTGATAGCGGACAAGCCACTTCAAAATAACAACCTAAATAACCTATATACAAACGACAAAATATTCTATTCGTTAGTCAAAACCAAATTCATGTGTGAGACTCTATATAGCGACCAATATAGGGGTTGAAAATACGAAGCTATACAAACCCTACCCGAGTCCCGAGTCTAAAGGAATCTATCGATACAACTTTTATTGAAAACCTTACAATAGTTTTTGAGGCTATAATGGTAAAAGAAACAACGAAACATTCATTATTATACATACAGAAAATAATTTGTTTTTCGGTGCTAAATATATAAATTTGTTAGAATAAAATAATAACTGTAACTAACCATAAAATATGGTGTAAATTAGATGTGAATCTCGGTGCTAAGAACACCCAAGTCTTCCATCAAAATACGGCAATGATCATGAGTTATTTTTAGTATCACGCTAGACATGTAAGAAATTGAAGGGTATTTTCCAATTGGTAAGGTTGTGGGTTATGGACTGTCGTACTGATTTTATATAAAAACATTTTAAAACTGAAAAAACACCAAATAGTGCAAAGTGCATAGGTACATATTGGTTATTTAAATAACACAAAGGGCCAAAGGGGTATCGAGTATGGTATTCGAAATCGAATAAAATATCATTATCCATGAGGCGTTAACTTTGAAAAATAAACTCATTTATTTGAAAATATATAATATAAGCATCTTAATGATAAATCAGAACTCTCAGAAACACTGATATAGTGATATCTACATAATAATAAGAACTTGAAAATCAAGTCAAGGACGAAGTTTAAGTCGATGATTTTAAGATATGGTATTACATCACCATTACGCTACAGGAATACATTAAAACCGCTGGACAGGAAAAATATATAATCGTTTGCTGCCAGTCGTATACTTGTATATTGAGCCATTTCAACATTTGAAAAGGAAATGTGCTTATACTACTGTACTTGTGAGTTCGGACATAATTTGAATGCATATTTGACACATACTATGAATGATAAAATATTAAAATGGAGTGTTTGAACAAAATATCTTAACTTTGATATTAGACAACTAATTTCCGAATAAAATAGCTTTACAGCTATAAAGAGGAAATACCTCAGTTCTCAACCTGCGGAGTCTACTTAAAAGTTAAGCACTTAAGCTGAATGCCATAAATATGAAAAAGACATCAAAAAACAATTTTCACGGTGTTTATTATTATTTCAATTGATAATAGGTATTATATGACTTTTACAAATATACCCATATGTATTAACTATTGCAATATTAACCCTGAGAATATAAATTTAAAAATGCTTGTATGTCGAAACAAAATGTGTGAGTAATCCTTCAACGACGTATTATAGGGATTAAAAAAAGAATCTTAAAATCATCCCAGAGAATCCCAAGGATCTTTTGATATAACTTTTGCTTTAATCGGTCAAGTCATTCAAAAATTATACATGATCACAAATTCACAACAGACGTAGGTAGGCATAATTTTAACCATGTATAAATAAGGTATTAAGTAGGCAGGTATCTGGTATATATATATGTTATTTTAAAAGGTGTATCTAATTCTATAGCTAATTACCTCGTTCTTTGAAATCTTTCCACAGAAATGGACATCCGTCCATCTCGTCTTTGGGACTCTTCCAACATCGTTTAGTCATTTGATTTACAAACATGCCAGTTAAAATTGGAACAACGTTGGGAAATGTATTGTCGGCGACTTTAGTGTACCCCTCAAGTGACATAAATCCATGCGTTTCCAACAAACGATATGTTATAGGCATTGATCGTATAAGATTTAACCGAGACAATGAATCAATGGATATTATTAGCACGCTGGGCTTGTCTGGGATATCTGCGTTTCGGAATCGCCTCTGACCTTTATCGATCACCATTGCATGGATGTCTTTATAAACTGTTGATTTTAATTTATTATCATTTGGTCTCAATTTACATGTTACCATCATGTATTCGACGGACTTGGGAATTATTTCTGAATCATTGATGGGATTACATTTCGGCTCAACTCTAAAAGATACGATAAAAATATGTTAGTTAAAATGTTTAGTCAAAAGTTAAAAACTATGAGGAGATTACAGACTCATTCGTTGCCTCTGTCTTACTTACGCATACTAAATTTATGTTGCCTAATTTATGTTTATATTGGGTAATATAGTTTTGTTGTTATTGGTATTGGATTATTTGAATGAACTTACCTATACTATCAAACTTAAACCAAATTCTATGATTAAATTACCTGTACTCTTGTTGGTTTATTTAATATTTTAATTTTAAACTAATTTATTGTAAGTAGATACAATATATCAGTTTAGAAACAATTGTACAGTTGTACCTAAAAGGCTAAAACTCACATTAAAACTAAAATATAGAAACAGGGCAAGAAACGTGACGAGAACATGAACTGTGTTATCGTCTATATACTACTAAATAACTAATATGTAAGATTGATATTTTTGGTGATTAATTTAACGTAAGACACTCATTATTTAAAAAAAGTATTAATGTTTTTGAAAATATTTTATTGTGTTGTATCAAGTAATAACGAAATAACTATTGACATAATATTGTTGGGTATATACTGTAAAAGTATAGTGTTGATAGTCAATAGTCATAGACCATAGTGTATAAGTATACTAGGTGAAAGTTTACTGGGCGATTCACCAAGCATGCTCCCCCCATTTTTTCCTTGATAATAAATCTATTCATATAATGTTTATTTTTGGAATTTTAAAATATATTCGAAGACCTTATTTTCAAATGTTCAAATTGTTTTGTACTACTTTATGAGTGCCCTGTGGCAAAACAAACTTCTGTTTTTCAAACGAGAATCCAACCCTTGCTTTTACTGTAAATTAATTAGTGGATAATTTTTTTGAAAATTTCGATGTACCACATTCAAAATTCGAATTCGTAGTTTCTTAGTTATTAAAATGTTTGTATTAAGAATAATAGTCCTAAAAACTGGTTTTACAAATTATTATTATTTATTATGGATAGATTAATATTAATGACTACAATTATCATATCACCATAGCCCCCGGCCACATGTAATCTTATAAACTCATTACTATGGACCTTTTATCCTTAGAACTAAAAGTTAAATGACTCAAAAACTACTTGTACGAATTTTGACTTTGATACTTCAAACATTTCTAAAAAATTTAGTTATGTTTATCAAATTTTTTTTGTCAGATCTTTCTATTACTCACTGCATAATCAAAATCGAAAAATGCTCACTTACATACCTAATATTGATAAAATATGCTAAATAAACATTTTTCTTTGAATTTTATGACTCATCTATGTTAAGCAAATCTTTTATATCTACTCCTCCGAGCTGTATCATACAAACATTATAAAATATGTAAAAGCAGAAAATCTGAACATTATAGTTTAGTAATAATTATAAAATAACTCTTTTTTAACGTACAATATTATGGTCTTGAATTTTAATAATTTCTACGTAATATTGCATTAATGTAATGTCATCACTTGAGTTTTTTTATATGCAAATGCATCCGGAATACACGATTGCACACGTTTTGTTAAAAATACATTTTACTGGCTAATACGCGCATATTATTATTACACTATCATACTATATTATTATACTTAGGTGTAATTTTCCAGTCTTACAATGACACAATATTTATGACTCATTTGGCAATGAATTTAATACTTTGTAAGCAACTTATGGCTATGTTTCGTAATTTTTAAAAACGATTAAAATACACATTTAATAAAGTCCTTAGCTTTTAAAATTAGATAAATTAATAACTTGAATTAAAAATGTAAATAAATAATTTGTACAATTATAGGTTAGGTAATTAATATTGACGCAATCTTGTATTGTTTCAAATCCATTATAGTCATCACTCATCACAATTAAACCATAACTACAATTATACTAAAAATAAAATAATTCAAAACCACAGAAAATTGATATAATATTTATCATACAAATCATAAAACTGGTATTTAGAACACCTATATTTAAGCATTGAGGAGTATTGTAGTATACACAATAGTGCTGCTAATCTGGGCTAAACTCAATTGAGCATATTGATGCAATTAAATTATAGGAATCCAATATCATTGAATTCAAATTGTACGCTTCCATTCCAGTGATTCACTAGACACGTTGGTACTGTTAAGGAGACCGCCACTTGCCCCCCTTTTTTTAATCACCGATATACTTGAAGTGTTAATAAAAATATTAATAGAAATTATAGTTTTACACATTTACCAAATACGTATTAATTTTCAAACTTACAATTTTTGTTTATAAAAAAAATTTTTTATAATTAAAATATTTTGATAATATTTAAAATGCCTTCTTAATATGATCACTAATCAGGGTCCGGGATTCACATAAATACTCTTCCAATCAATACCTATCAACATATCCCTATTACCTACATAATAATTATTAATTAAAATTCACCAGTGAATTCCCAAAAAGTAGCAAACCAGCTCTTGAATTATGACCAATTTTTTTCTTTGTTTTTTCTTATAATTACTTATTACACTGTTTAAGTGCTTGTACCTATAATAAAGACACTTACTTATAACGATCGTCATCATTTGGATTATTTTTGAATTTCAGTTCATTTCTAGTGATTGACGAATAACAACAACTAACAATTGATTTTGAAATTTGTGAGTGAAGTCCATGGTTAATTTTGAAAGTATAAGACCATTTGTCTACATCAAGGATTACGCTAGTTAACGGCAATGTTGAAAAGCACTTTGGAGAATTGATTTTCTTAGTAAAATTTTTAATTGTCTTGTCGTAGGCACTTATGTTAGGTATTCGACAATTGTCATTCCATACGACATACCCTTCTTTCACGTTATCATACACTTTTGTTAATATTTTTGTGTCTATAAAAATAACATAAATTAAATAATTTGAATGGCTTATAATATAAACATCAAAGTATAAAGTAATTATTGCGATATATATATATTGTTTACCAAGTATCCAAAATATCAATAATAATTTAAAAAAATATATGTATACATTCTCTGTTTATAAAAAATTATAATTATTATATGTTTACAAAATGTAGGTATATTACTATTTTCAGATGTGATAACGTTGCCGTTATATGATTGGTACTCGGCAGAATGGTAATCTATTGAATTTTCAATTTCATTATTTGCACCACTACAATATAACAGGAACAAAGTTGTCATAAAAACCACGTATAGGATGATTTTATTTGTATCGTTTGTACACTTCTTTAAATTTTGGTTTTTAGTCATAATTTAAGTTTTCTGTAAAACAGTATAAACAATTAAAGATCATATATGTTGATCAAGCTTTTTAATAAATATTTACTATCACTTATTAGTGGTGTGGCACTGTGGGATTTGTGATGCCTGGGTAATCGGGCATCATAGTTTAAATTTCTACGGGATTTGTAGACTAGACTGGACTAGAGAGCCTAGATAATATTATTATTATTTTATTAATATTATTATTATCTATGCTCTTTAGAATAGACTAGTCTATAGGTGGTGTTGCAGGGCGTTGGTATGACCAAGGGTGGGTGACGGTGAAGACTATTAGTAGATACCTATCTACTATAGTTGGGGCCGTGTATATGTATATAATATAATCTATATAATATAGTGGTAGGGTAGACTCTACAGTATAGAATAATGCAATATAATGTATTTGGTAAACAGTACAAACATTATGTACATACACGCATTGTCATTTTAGGAAGTGGTTGGGTTGAGCAGGGCTAGCGGGCTAGCCAGCGTGTTAGTACCTACTACCTACTGACAATTATGTGGGCCGTGGGGCATCATGTGATTTATAACTACTTACCACGCCACTGTAGTGTAAATAATAATAATTTTTTTTACAGTGTTATTTTATTGTTTTAGTTAGCTTAACGTATATTAAAATAATTAATACACATAAGTAAATAATATGTTATCTAATACTTATGATTTTAACGAAATAGTAGCTTAAAGTTTAAGATTTAAGTTAAATTACACTATAATGAACAATTGTCAATTTTTTAATAAACTTAATTTAGACGTAGGTAAGTGATTTTTGAGTTTTCAGACATTTCCTATATTCGATAAATTGATATGATTAATATTGACATCAAACATTTTTTAATTCAGCATCTAGATACTTATTCGAATAACCGCTCAATTTGTTCAATCATTTTTTTTATAGAATCTGTTCACCTGTTAATCTTTTCTTAAGGAACAACGTTAATACTAATAACTAACTTACTTAAAAAAAGTCCAGTGGTGTTATAACGTTTAGGACTTAAGGTTGTAGGTACCGGATACTCGGGTACTCGATATATTAATGGGAATAGTTTATAATCTTTTGCTTTGTGTGAGTTATTATATACTTGTGTGCGGGTTAATGTATGTCGGTAATATATACTGAGATAAGGGCCATAATATGGTCTGATAATAATATTATGATTTATTATGGTTTCTTTCGAGTATCAAGTATTTTAAATTAGAATAAATAAATGATGTATCATGTATGTGAAATTGATTGAATTTATAATCATTGTAGTAACAATACTCAAGTTTTAATTTAAGCCTTTAAACATATTCCATACTATCTAAAATTAAAATGCGCCCCTAATTATTCACTTAAAATATCCACCCCGTGAGCACTCACCTCTTGCACGTGCCTTAAGCCATCTCTGCCAAGACCTTAAGAATAATATTTTTTGGATTATAATAAAATAACGAAAATCGTTTTCTTTTGTTTAGATATGTAAACATTTATTTGAGTTTCATAAATCTATAAATACAATTTTGCATATTGCAATATAGACCAGTATCTGAATACATCACTCACACAATTAAAATCAAGACATTTTTATCATCAAATAATAGTAAATGTTAATGTTTAGATTACAAATTAAAGTTAAAACTAATTCAATTTTATTTTCAAAGTGAGTTTAAAATGTATGCACACATTCAATATAAATATATTATAAGGATATTCTATTAAATATATTTAGGCACCAAAAAAAATTGAAACAGTATATTATTATTATTTTATAAATTTATAATATATATTACGCATAATTATGAAATTACGTATACATAGTGTAGTTGTTGGTGTGATCTCAATTAGGTATATGAATATATTTGTTTTATTGTTTCAACGTCAGTATACACATTATGTAGTGTTTTTTTATAATATTTTTAATGAAGACAAATCACAGTGTACATATTTTATCAACCGGACCTATATTTCACTTCCTTTAGCGATAAAACAATTGCAAAATAAAAAATGATTCTGTATAAGTAATTTGACTATAATAAGTATAATTTTATATATTTTATGCCATAGTTGACGTATCAAGTAAAATAAATTATACATTAGTTATTAATACGTCATGATCTTTGACACTAAAAGTAGAAAATATAAATAAATAGATAGAAAATAGTAAATACATATAAATATGCAATGTTAATTATTTTATTACGACAGAATAACATGATCTATACACTGTTGAATTATCAGCCATATGTTATTTAATATTCTGAGTTTAATAAAATACATACTTATTTTAATATGATTAAAATAAATGTATAATAGTATAGGATTAAGGTTCCTAAGTTAGGAGTTATGGGCTATGGTTAAGAGAACGCTATTATTCGCAATTCGCTATGTTATCTCCGTCTCACAAACACAAAACAGCAAATTATACTTTCTGAATGATCCATTTAACTCTGTGATATTAAAATATTAGAGTGAATTGACCTACGAACAATTTAGGAGTAAAAGTATTATCTAGAGAATCACATAGGTTTTTTTTATGCTATAATTTTAAAGCGAGAGATAATAATTTTAAAATTCTCATGATTTGCTTTAAAATCAAAATTTACAAAAAAATCTATGAAATTCATGTGATAATATTCTTACTTATAAGTTATAAAACATTATAATAGGTCAATTCACTCTATTATTAAACATAACAGATTACTAGCTGTCTACAGAGTTAAGAGGACGTCGCACCCGCGTGTTGTCTCCGTCTTACACACGTCCGACGCGCGACGTAGACAATTTTCATTCACAATTTCAATAGTGTGCTGTTGGTTTTGTTATCATAGTTAATTAACCTATTCTAAAATTTAAAGGTATGAGATTATTATCTAGGGTCTACGTAGTCCTTTGTTAATATTATTATTTTTAAGTAAGTTTTGAGTTATGACCTTTTTGAAACTGTACATTTTATTATGATCATAACTTGCTTAAAAATAATAATATCAATAGGACCTACATAGGGCCCTAAATATTAATCTTAGCTTTACACATACAGTGCAATATTACATATTTTAAGTGGTACAGCAAATACAAAGCAACTATTCTATATTTTAAAGTCGATAAAATAATAAATGATATATTTGGGAACTAGCTAGTTGGGGCCTTGCGCCCTTACCCCTGGTCGGGGTTGTTAAAATTAAATTATAGCTAAGAAATCCCCTATATTGTTGCGCTAATGTATAATTTAAATGTATTTTATCTATACAATATGTGCTTTTATACAATAGGTATTACTTACTCGTTGTATTCGTATACAAATTAAAAATAGACCGTAAGTATAATAACAATTAAGAAATTTACACATACAACTACATAAAAATTTAAAATTATCACTATGATTTATTTTCTCAATTATTTTACCGTTAACATTAATTTTATTACTATTTGAGTTAACTTATATCAATAAATAAGGAAAAATCGAAAAACATATTGTGTATTCCAGTTCATCGCATTATAATACTATACCTACATGTTTTTATACTATAATATATTATTATACACAAAATATGCAATAAAGATATTAAAATAGGAGTATAGAATAAGCCCGAGCTGCGGAATTAACGACTGGCGTGTCTGCGCAGTATTGGCGCATTGAGCCATATTATTAATATTTCCTCCGCGACACCGCCATGCCGCCGCTATGCACAGCTGCAACATTATAGTATCAACGCTTATCATCATTATTCGTAAGATACCAAAATCGTGCAACAGCAATGATGAAAATAACCCTCGCACAATATTATATTATTAAACACATGCCCGTCGGAGTGATTTTCAAAACACGCGTACGGAAATAAAAATACGCTATAATCCTGTATTATAGTGTACGAATATAGGTAAACACAATTATTCACAGTCCTTCACCGCAAGCGTTCATTCCCGTCGAGGCTACATCGGCGTGGCGAACAGTAGTAAACGATTATTAGTTACCTATGATGTCTCTAATAATATTTTAATGTCAAAATGATATCATAAGTCATCATTGAACGGACACGATTTAATGGTTATTTTAACACACATCTAGCCGACGTAAATACCCTACAATTATATTACGTCAAAGTTTACGTAGATCGTAAATCGCATGATCGAATTCCTTTGTACCGTATCTCTTCTCAGGTGAATGAGTTGATATATTATATCTGTGTTAAAATTATTATATTCTTACTCTATGGTTAAAATAATTCTGGTGATCGTAATTATATATTTTATGGTACTTACTTAAAAAGGCGTTGCTTTTTCAATATTATGTGCCTACCCACATCAGGCTTGTTACTTGTTGGTTGTTTTACTTGGAAGCGTAATATCTGCGTACTTATGCACTATGTATACTATGTTTTATAATACCTAATATGTTCTTTTAACACTTGAAAATTACTCTCTTACATCACTCTTAATTTTAATTAGTTGATTTTTATAAATATTAACTTTTCTAATTACTCTTGATTATTTATTGACAAAATGTTTCCATTTGTATTCCTTTATATAATAATGCAATTTACGACGCTGTTAAAGAAATACACGATTGAGTGATAAAATGTTCTAATGTTTTCCAATTTTATGTTCAACAACAATTATTACTTATGTTTAATGTTTTTTGTTTTAAATGCAGTTTTAAAAATACACATACCGACATAAATATCAGTCGTAAATTCATCTGAATTTATAAGCCGCATAAAACTTAAAAATTTCATTTAATTGCCTAAAATCTATATAATATGTTTTATTTTATATATATAAGGTACGTAGTTATACAACATACAAACTGTAAGTAATGTATAAATTATAAAATTAAGGTTTCAAATATTTATTTTAAAAAAATTATACAGCTGAAATTTAAAATATAAAATAATATACTAGGTGCCTAAATCTAAAAAATATATGAACACAGTAATTGTATACAAACATTTTAAATTCAAATTTTTACAAAATTACATACGTACTAAAACCA